TCTATCTATCTATCTATCTATCTATCTATCTATCTATCTATCTATCTCTATTTTTTTATGATTTATCCATCTAGGATTCATTTGTAAAAGACGGGTCTCCATGTGCAGAGGTATTCTCGTGTTCACGGGTCACTAGCTGTACCTAATTCAGACACGCAGACAGCTGCAGGCCTTTAACCAATGAGGACAATGAGGACAGTGAGCGATGTTAAAACAGATGTGCAGAACAAAACAGTCATAGATCAGCCATCTGCCCCTTCATTACTGTTTGACTTCTTCAACCATCCACTCATTCCTCCTTCTCCTCTTTCTGTACTTCCCCTTCACACTGATATCTGCCCTTCCCCTTCACCTCCTGCTCCTTTCTGTCTCGCTTACTTTTGCCCACTCTCTTTTCCCATCCTCCTTTCTCACTTTTATCCAGCCACGTGTCTTTTCATCTCTCCCATCCCCTCCTCTCTGCCCTCTAAGACTTTTTTCTTCCTGATGCATTTCCTTTAAATTTGCACATATAACACTTATCTCTGTCACTCTCTTTACCTCACTGTCATTTATTCCTATCAATCCCCAAACACACACACACTTCTTCTTCTTATTAAATTAGTAATAATGTTACCGTGTTTTCTCAGAGGAGGCCACTGTTATTGACTTCATTATGCAAATGTGAAGCAGCCTAAAGCTATACCACTGAATAAAACACACACACACGCACGCACACACATACACACACACAGTTTGTAGGGCAAGTGTGCTGGCCAGGAAAAATGTCTTGCTGTTTCAGATAATTATGTCAACCGGTGGAGTGATGTGTATATTAGCGTGAAATCTGCTAAATCCCAAAGACCTGGGGCTTGTGATAGCTGTCATGGAGTGACAATGAATACCAAAAAGAAATAAAGAAAAATGTTTTTTTTCCCCTCCCAGAATGTCAACCCTTTACAACTTCAGTTATTGTTTCAAGTTAAAATCCCACCTTTTTCTAAAGGTGAACCTTTTCTTTATCTCGGACGGAAGCCGTTTTTTTTTTTTTTGTCAAACAGCAAAGCAGATATTTATGCCTAATTAATCAATTTTACATTTTGTTGTCTGCACCATGTTTGACAGTTATTTCTGGACATTTCAAAGAAAACAGACTGATGGGCGTGCTGGCCAAGCAGGAAGTGCCCTACAAGTGCCTGATTTGCCCATGAGCTCCTGGAATAATGATTTCTTTGTGGTTTGGAACAGGGAGCCAAAGTCCTCTCATCTTCACTCTGATCAGACATGCAAATCTTTCCACGGTGCGGGCTCTGGCTGGACAGAGTTTCCAAAAACCACGCTGTGTCTTGATACAAGTTCACAGAACTGGAAACATTCGACAGTGGGGACGATAAACACATGAGCATGCACACACAATATTGGCAGGGCCATGCAGCACAGATGGGAAGACAGCAGAGAGCAGCGAGGAAGAGGAAATTAAAGTCACAGTGTCAGGACAAACATTTAGAGCTCAGGGACTAACAACACACACTGTTTGTGTGCACTAACTAAATATCAGTCAGGGAAATTCACT